GTATAAGGATACAGTTGCTCTTCCAAAAATGTAAATAATAGCTTTATTCTGTCCAGGAATAGAAGCTTTTATAATGAGCATATGTATCTGTAGTGTAGATGTGTTGTTGCACCTCTGTCCCAGGTTAGGGGAGGGTTGGGCGCCCGCCAAACATGTTTAACCCCGCCACATTCTGTATGTGCCTGTCCGAAGTCAGGAGCCTGTAATTCAGTGGTTGTCATTTGTTGCTGTTTTTTGTTCATAATTTTGTACATAAAACAGGCCGTTAGTTTTCTCGTTTAAATAGTTTTACATTTGTCATTTTGGGGCCTTTTATAGCTGACTACCAGTATGGGCTTTGATCATTGTTGAAGGTCGTACGGTGACCTATAGTTGTTGATTTCTGTATCATTTAGTCTCTTGTGGAGAGTTGTCTCATTGGCAATCATTCCATATCTTCTTATTTATATATATATATAGTATAGATAAACTGTCTACTGCTGAAGACTGTTTATTTCCATCTAGATGTCTTTCGATTATTTTTGTCACGGGGTCGCTAGCTATTTCATTGAATACTAGTAATACCAAGTATCTCATCAGCTACAGGTTGAAAGGTTGTCTACTAAATGTATAAGGCAAAAATATCTGATTGTACTAAATTTAAATATACTAGTACTATAATTTATACGATTGGCATTCAAAATTCAAGTACCATTCTACCAGCCTTTTTTAGAAATACCAAACTTGTTTCAAAAATTGTACTTTTCCTTAAAATAACTGTGATATTTGTCAATGTACATGTATGTATGAAGCAAACAGCAACCAATTTATCCATTTTGCAGCTATTGTCATAAAATCTACTAAGAATAGAACACTGTCATGGATATACATATATGAAATCTGAATATTGAATCCCAGTGGTTTCTAAATAGCATGCCACTCAATATGCAAATACATGTATACAGAAACCGAGTGAGAAGACAATCTTACGCCTACACCGTCTATAAGTATAGGATGGTAATTGCTGACTGTATTATTTTACCAAGATCTAGTCATGAACTTGCTCTTTGGTTACATTTGTCCCCAATGAACACAAAGATATAAATCTGCTCCAATTACAGCTTAAAGCCGCTAGACATAAACACAGAATGAAGGAAAGCCAGGGATATATCTAATATGTAGAAACATTAGGCACTATATGATCAAGAGGGACATAAAACATAGTCTATTCCACAATTTTAGTCAATCTATTTAGTCCAAAAGTTTGTTTATGTACATGTAGTAATGTTGCCCTTTTCCATTAAAATTTTCTCAAAACATCTGGAGTCTACAGCCTACACATGCTACAGGCAATGACAGGCTGATTTACCAACTAATTTAATTTATACCCTTTGTAAATTGCAGGTATAAATATAAAATAATACATAATATTTCAATTAAAATAAAAAATTTCTTCCTTATGCATAAAGATTTTTTTTTACAAAATGAAAAAAATATAAGCATGAAAAGAGAGGTACTGATGCCTCTCTTGTGATCTCTGCTTTGATTCAAATCTATCCTTATGTGTACAATAATCATACACCACTCTAAGTACATTTTAAAATTGAAGAACAAACACAATGTACACGTATGCATACATATGTACAAGTAACAATTCAAAGGAAAAAACACCACAAAAACAGGAAATGTACAAAAATGTGTTTGTCAGGTATATTCACAAAACATCTTGTAAATATAATACGATATGATGTAAAATATAATGTAAAAATAAATCATTTAGTAGCTCATAATGTAAATTCCTTTAAATGAAACTTAATAAAATTGTATACACTTTGTGATTTATCATATCAACAAGGGTTACAATGTAATACATATAATAAATACACCATCTGTTGTAGCCTATTATCAATTTGACATTTAAAATTGTGATAATGTATTATTAGCATTCCTCCTACACATAATTCTGAGGTAGAGTTCTGAGGCCTCCGTGAAGGATTTAATTCTGTATATGTACCTTTTATATTGTAATCTTTAACCAGAAAATTAAAAGGTGACAATTTACTTCAACTCAATCATGATTTTAATTATGTTTAAATCATTGTTCCTTAAATTTTTTCAGTTTCACAAGGAAGGTTTTTCAATGAGAAGTTAGTACCTGAATATTGAATCTATAGTTATGGAACAGCATATATATCCCACCCTGAACTTTTGAGAAGGGGTTTTGGGTGGGTGGTTATGGGTACAAACTGTCCAGAACAGTAAATAATGAAATTTTGACCTATTTAAAAGATGAGCTAAGGGTAAAAGAAGTAATTTAAACAGCACTGAGACCCACTGAATCTTTAAAGTACATGTAGTACATGTATATATAAACAAGACGAAATATATATATTTTTGTTTACTCTAAGTACAAAATCAAAACTAATGCACATTCACAAAAGTCATAAAGCAGCAATACCTCCCTGTAGCATTTTGAATTTTTTTCCTGTTATTTAAACATGCTTAATCATGTTAATTTGCTCTACTAATGGTATAAAATTCAATACTCCTACAACACAACATAAAGAATGTAACAGAATTCCAATGATTAGAGACATTACCAAGATGAAAGTAAAAATATTTTCACCTGCCCAACATCACAATAAGAAGAGATTGTTCAGGTTGAATGGTATCAAACCTACTATTTCATGAGCCATTTGAAGAATAATAAGTTGCAGGCTCCTGGGTCATTACAACAAAGTTCAATAAATGCTGCAGCTTCAAACCTGGGTTTGCCAATTTAATACTATTTTTATCCAGAAAAAAAGGCTGGTGGGGTATAATTTTTAGAGGCCACAGGGAGTAAAACAGAACCTCACTTGATATATGATTCCTGAAAAGTAACATGACATGTATCTAAAGCAACATCAGAAGTTAATGTTTTGTGCAACTGGGCCATTAAAAAAATAGACAGAACTGTTTGGCATTAAATTATGAGGCACACAAATCTAATTTACTATGTTGTATATCAACTTTCCGAATTAAGCAGAGATTTCAATATATATTTTTTTTGAAGATGGAACTAACTATTATGCACTGCCTTGTAAACAAGCTTTAAACAGAGTTACACTTAGCTTTCAACATAAAACTTTTATAACAAGTGATCATAGTAAATGTTGTATATAGGTTTCTAAAAGTGACCATGTAAAAGAAAATCTGCAACCTGTCAACAGCAGATTCACATGCTAGACAAGAATGAATTAATTTTTTTGAAATAACCATTTTTTTCAGAGCAAAACAATAATACTCTGATTTTTAGCTTTCTTGTAATATTTCAGAGGTTTTCACAACAAAATGACCAAAAATAAAATCAACCCCTATCCTTTTTGTCCAAATTGTTAAAAAAAAATATCTGGATGAGAACCGTATAATGGTGTTATAAATACAATGTAGGTTTTTGTTCTCTTGATAATCCTTTATGTTTCGTTTGTGGTTATTTATAAAAAGGATATTCTTAAATTGCAAAATAATGTGTTTTCGTATTGTGACTGTCTTTAAAATTTGACCAAAAGAATGCATTTATAACTTCAGCATGTTCAGTCAGATGTATTCATTTAAAACAGTTATTTTTTTCTTTTGAAATATATCTGATTAAAATGTTAACATACAAATGTAGAAAATTGTCATTAGGACTAAAATGAACAAATGATTGGAACGTTTAAATTTACCAAAAAAAAAATATAATAAAAGTTTTAATGTTTTTTTAAAAGAAATCTATATTTTAATGTATATCAAATGAGATGTGGGGTAAATTGGAGAAAACGATCCCATAACCAAAGCTTCTACCAGATCAATAAAAGACATTTAGAGGTTAATTTCCATTTTACTGGATACAACCATGTAAACTGACCAAGAAACTACTTATGAATTTTTTAGACCCATTCAATTTAAAAGAAAAACAATATCAGGATAACAAAGGTACCAACACTATTTTGCACCCATAAATTTTATAAATTCACATCTATAAATATCTAGCTCATTAAATTATGTACCAGTTATTGTGCTAAAGTTTAAGTTGAAACTCCCTTAGGCAAAGTTGTACAACTGTTATGACTGTTCTGTTTTAGCTATTTGGCTTTTCAGCCTCTCTTAATTATTTACTACTGTACACTAATTTTCCCTCATTTTCATGAGGGTATTTAGGTCATTAAATATCACCCCATCCCCCTGTAGTATAACATCTTATATTTTTAGCATGCCAAACTTCGGGTCTCAAAAATATTCTGCAAATATGTAATAGTGTAAATGGACTTAATGCTTGCATAATACACTGGTTTAAAAAAATGATAAACCATCTATACCTGTCCCCCAGAGTTATATGACATTTACCATGGTATTACAGATGGTTGTGGGTGTATTATACAACCATTTTCAATAATTATATCACTTTTCGATCTGAGTGGGACTTGTACACACAATGATTCTAAACTGGATTACAGCTCTGATTTTAATATTAGTTATAATGTACTATTTTGAAAAGAAAACTTATCACAAAAGTCAAAATAAAATACACTCATGTATATAAAGAAACAAGTTCTTATGATGACATCTTCTCATAGGATAACAACTCATGAGAGGGAAAATAAATTTTAAGATTTCCAGTTTTCCCTATTTGTGCGTTTTTCAAATGTTACACGTGTTTTCGTATTTCATTCAGGCTGTCTTTAATTTTACATGTAAACTAGCTATATGTAGGTTTCAATTATCTTTTTTTTTATTTCTTATGTAGATAAAACTGTGACATGTGTTAGGTCCAATCATTGTTAACATTAGAATTGGTCAATCAATTCTACAACAGCATGGATTAGAGACTATTTCTACAACAGCATGGATTAGAGACTATTTTTACATGTTTCTAGTTTGTTTAAAACAAAAATCTGTATTTTCAAAACTGGTGAAGCAGATTTCCATCGACACACAGGATGATAAAGACTTCTTAATTAATTGTGTACCGGTATATGGTCTTGCATGCATGTACTTACCTCTTCATAAAACTTTAACTGAGGGACAGATTCATCACAGATTTGTTCACAATATTCCTTAAATAATAAAAATCCTGAAAAAGATATAGATAAATAACTTAAAGAGATTGTTTTGGTCATTACAAATCCAATTTGAGTTGTCATTACAGTATACACTAAAATATTAAGAATTATTTTCAGGCCATCAGTCTGAATTGGTTTACAATTATCATGTTTAAATGCTTCATTAAAAGAAACTCAGAATTCTGTTATACTATAATGGCTACCATACCAGGCATACATATTCTGTGAAATTTAACAGAAATATCAAATTTAAATCAAAATGCATTCTGACAGATCTTTGTGATGAGAGATACTAAGTTGAAATGTTTTTTTATCAAAAAATTGAGCATGAATTTGAACATTGGCTGTTTTATGTATTGCACTGGGCATGTAACTTTGTGTGTGTCCTGCATGGGGCATATTACTTTGTTGTGCATTGAGCATGCTTCTTTGTTTGTGGTGTGCATTGAGCATGTTACTTTGCCTGTGTTGTGCATTTAGCATGCTACTTTGTCTGTGGTGGGCATTGAGCATGGTACTTTGTGGTGGGCATTGAGCATGCTACTTTGTTTGTGATGTGAATGGAGCATGTTACTTTGTTTATGTTATGTTGTGCATTCAGCATGTTACTTTGTGTCATGTTGTGCACTGAACATGTTTCTTTGTTTGTGGTGTGCATTGATCATGTTACTTTGTCTATGGTGTGTATATATATTGATCATGTTACTTTGTCTATGGTGTGTATTGAGCATGTTACTTTGTCTATGGTGTGTATTGAGCATGTTACTTTGTCTGTGGTGTGCACTGAACATGTTTCTTTGTTTGTGGTGTGCATTGATCATGTTACTTTGTCTATGGTGTGTATATATATTGATCATGTTACTTTGTCTATGGTGTGTATTGAGCATGTTACTTTGTCTATGGTGTGTATTGAGCATGTTACTTTGTCTGTGGTGTGCACTGAACATGTTTCTTTGTTTGTGGTGTGCATTGATCATGTTACTTTGTCTATGGTGTGTATATATATTGATCATGTTACTTTGTCTATGGTGTGTATTGAGCATGTTACTTTGTGGTGTGTATTGAGCATGTTACTTTGTCTATGGTGTGTATTGAGCATGTTACTTTGTCTGTGGTAGACATTGAACATGATACTTTGTCTGTTGTTGGAATTCAGCATGTTACTATGTTTGTTCTGTGCATTGAGTATGTTACTTTGTCTGTTGTTGGAATTCAGCATGTTACTATGTTTGTTCTGTGCATTGAGTATGTTACTTTGTCTGTTGTTGGAATTCAGCATGTTACTATGTTTGTTCTGTGCATTGAGTATGTTACTTTGTCTGTTGTTGGAATTCAGCATGTTACAATGTTTGTTCTGTGCATTGAGCATGTTACTTTGTCTGTTGTTGGAATTCAGCATGTTACTATGTTTGTTCTGTGCATTGAGCATGTTACTTTGTCTGTTGTTGGAATTCAGCATGTTACTATGTTTGTTCTGTGCATTGAGCATGTTACTTTGTCTGTTGTTGGAATTCAGCATGTTACTATGTTTGTTCTGTGCATTGAGCATGTTACTTTGTCTGTTGTTGGAATTCAGCATGTTACTATGTTTGTTCTGTGCATTGAGTATGTTACTTTGTCTGTGTTGTCTGTTGTGCATGTTACTTTGTCTATATATTTGTATTTGAGGTGTGTATTGGTTCAAAAACAAAAAGAATTTAAAAAACACAATTACAAAACTGTATCTTTCGCACTGTAATTTCTACACGACAACAAAATAATTTTAAATAATAAAAAATATAACTATTGCCCACCCTATTTTGAAACTTCAGCAGACCTAATCAGATTGTTTGCTAATGTATAGAAGTTTCAAATACATGTCAAATAAGATGTGCATGAAAGAATTACTCTTAGTCAGAGATTTACTAACATTGTACATACATTATTTTAGTTTGCTAATGGCAATGGTGGTTTACTTAATTTTAGTACTCTTTTATTATGTATACAATGTAAGAGGAAACTAACTATACATAAAAGTTCCATAAAGTTCTGAAAATATTTCCAATAAATCTTTGACATAACTATCTCCATGACAACCAACAATAAAATTCTGTGAACAGCTTTTAATATTGTCCATAAATAGTTTTATTAAAAGTCATATATATAGAAATTATTGATGTAAATCAAATCTTATCATGCATCAATTTTACTTAGGAGATTGAAATAGCAAATATTAAACTTGAGTCAAACATATATACACATGATATACATGTAGTATTTATCTAATTAATTAATCTAAAATATATATAAAAGTAATAAAAAATGTGCTTCGCCGAGCGCAGCTGGATATGACCGCAGAGGTCCAACACTGAACAGTTGGGGCAAAAAATGGACACAATATTCAAGCTTGATACAGTTCTGAATTTGGATTGTAGTTAAATATTTGACACAATATAGGTTTCTGAATAAATGTAGTCAAAGAACTTGAAATTGGTTACATAATTTGAATTTATATACAATTGAAGATTTCTTGCTGTTGCGCAATACTTAGTAAATCTGTTTCAGACTATATACAAAGAATTAGCAAAATAAATTGTGACCCACAATTTTTTTTTTGGAAAATTGATAATTTCTTTAATTTTGAGGGGAAACAATTTACCCCCCCCCCCCCCCTCTCCCCCCGAAAAAATTTGTATAACCCCTCCCCCCTTTCCAAAAAAAAATAATATTTGAAGAAATTTTCTTTTTGTAAAATGTGGTACAATTTAAGAGACATCCATACACTTAAACACAAGTTATTGTCTGAAAACTTGAAAAATGCTTCTTTTTGGCCCCTAATTCCTGAACGGTTTGGGCAATTACCCCCAAAATGAATCCATACCTTCTACTCGTGGTATTGCACCTTGAATTGTGGTACAATTTCAGAGCAATCAAAATACTTATACACAAGTTATTGTCCTGAAACTAGAAAATTCTTGTTTTGGGACCCTTTTTGGCCCCTAATTCCTAAACAGTTGGGACCATAACCCCTAAAATCAATCCCAACCTTCCTTTTGTGGTATTAAACCTTGCGTTTAAATTTCATAGAATTCCATTCACTTATACTAAAGTAATTTTCCGAAAAATTCTTGTTTTGGGACCCTTTTTGGCCCCTAATTCCTAAACAGTTGGGACCATAACCCCCAAAATCAATCCCAACCTTCCTTTTGTGGTATTAAACCTTGCGTTTAAATTTCATAGAATTCCATTCACTTATACTAAAGTTATTGTCCGAAAACCAAATGTATTCAGACGACGAAGACGACAAGGACATGATAGCAATATACGAACTCAAATTTTTTGTGGTTGTATACAAAACATGAAGAAAAAATACATACAACTACACAGCATATCACTGTTTAATAAAGCAAAACAAATTTGTTTCTTTTTAATCGATTATTATTTTTGGAAATTTCATGAAACTTCTTGTATACATGCATGCCAACATTTTATTGAAATGATGAAATGATTAAAAATTCACTTGTTCAGTATTTTTACCCTGACTGTCAAAGAGAAAAATTTCTAACTGAGTTCTTATATTTCAGTTGAATTCAAGATTTTTTAGAATGCTACCATTTAAATTTTTAATAATAGACCAAATGTATTTTTCAATTTGGCTTAAAAGCACAAGGAATGACCATTGTAATTTGAACATGTCATGCACCTAGGGACTAGTGTTTTAGTTTAACAGCTACTTATAATTGTTAAGCTAACCCATACTCTACCATTCATTTGGCGGCATGACACCTTCATTTACATACATATCTTTGAATACCAAAATTTGAAGAAAAAAAAAATTGGTAATACAAAACAAAATAATTGCATTTAGAATTGTTTTGCAATAGAATTAACGGGCTGGTAGGTCATAAAGTCCCCCCAAAAAATTGTCACAGGCCAGAATATATTGATTCTAGTATTATACATGTCCTAATAAATGTAAATCTTGAATTCTAGCAAAAAAAGGCCCAATCCCTATTAAAATCCTGTAAAAGGTTCTCCTGCCCCTCTACGTGCTCTAGGTTTTAGAAATTAGAAAATTAACAATCCAAATATTTAGTTTTAGTCCTTATATATAAAAGATAAATTTATCTCTAGCTCATAGCATTACTTAATTTGGGTGGTGGAATTCAATGCAACAACAAAATTTCATGACAATTTTGTAAAAATAAAAAAAATCTAACAGTAAATTGCATTTTTCCATTTTTTTTTCAGAATTCAAAACTAAAATTAAAAATATAAATTAAAAACAAAACAAGAACTAGAAAGTTCTAGACTGGACAAATATGGTCTTTACTGTTCTTGAACAAATTTATAATTAATTACTTAATTTGATTTCATTAATGAGATTATATATGTGTATATCATAAATATAGGCCTAAATTGTTACAATTAATGAGATTATAAAAAAAGATATAAGAATATCTTATGATAATCAAATAAATAACTTGTGATAATATATCTGTTAATTGCATTAAACATCCATTATTTCAGAATAAATATATTCTTTTCATTTTGTATTTTAACAGGTGTTTGATCTCAGATGGAAATATTTAGTCAGATCAATATGGAAACAACTTAATTTCTAAATTATAATTTAAATATATAAATATTTGTTGAAACAATTTATATCAGAATATTGTTTATTGCACTCTTGGTATAGTGTTATTCATTATTAAGTAATAATTACTGAAGCATTCAGTTGAAATCCTATTACACTGACAATTATAATTATCTGGACTAGTGTACACATTATCAAGTGTATTGATGGATAATCAGGAGAAAGATTATGTTATGTAGATGTATCTGATGTTGCGCGCAGCCGCCGCATCACTTCCGCAAACACACTTGTAACTCACCTAATTTTTGTCCAAATATTTTGTCAAACTTTATTTCGCCCATTTTCGTCAAATGTTTATTCATAACACTCTTCACACTGAAAAATATTAAGACAATAAATATTATCATATCATTTTATCATCAACAATGCAGACGATAAATTACATGGTGTCAAACTGGGTTTTAACAGAACCCGAGCAGGTGCCCGTTTGCTCCGCTACGTACCTTGGATCAGGAAGGATGATTTTCTTGCTTGCTCTGGCGGCTGGAGTTGATTTAGACTTCTCCATCGCCATGAGATAGCTGACATCAGCCAGCACAGCCTCCAAGTCGGCCATTTTTACAAAAATATAGATCACAAAACTGTGCGATCTATCCCGAAGATCGATTTTACACCAAGTGTGTAATGAATTTTTATCCTTCCTTACTTGTACTCCATTCTCTTTGGCCTACATTTTAATAACACATATATTCCCTCGAATATTAAATAATATTTTAACCATATAATCCTTCATCTATATTGCTTTGCTTAAGATAATTCAAATATGTACATATGTAAATGTATTAATCAGTAAATGAGGAGCTTGCAAAGGCGACTGGGAAAAGAGGTCGGGGCGTGCTATTGGCCAGATGCGGAACCGACCTATTCGATTTTCCTTTGTTGATCGATTATTAAAAACTTTAGAAAATCTAAACAAATACACTTTCGTTAAAGATTCAATCTTGAGATTTGTGTCAATAATAACGATTCGTCAATAAAAACTTCAAAATGATGAGAGAATGATTTTCAAGTACTGATTCAAGTTGCCTTTGTGAGCCGGGTACTATTTTATAATACGTAATTTCTTCACCGTTTGGGGGGTTAAATAATGATGATGCAAAATTTCTTTATATAATTTACAAATATCAGCATATGATTTTTATAGTAATCTTTCATCTTATTATTAATTAGTATTGTGGCTTTAAAAATTACTGAAAAAATATTAATATTTTACATCTTTGAAATAATATGTAATATCTATACCATTTGGGTTTTTGTTGGACTGCATCGCCGTGTATTCATTTCATATGTATATAAAAACCATGTCTGTCTAGAGGTGAAAATCGACTAGAAGACCCGCACAGTAGGACATTTTTTATATACATGTAGTAAAGTCTTTTAGACACAATTTTCATACTTGTATTTATTTTTGTTTTCCATCGTCAAAATCATACTTTTTATGCCTGAGGAATCGATACAATTACGATTTCCAGGATGGACCGTCACTCGTTCAGGGGGTTTTGGGGTTTTTATTATTATTCAATTTTATTAGTTAGAAGAGAGAAAGGCTATATATACATTTTATCAAGGATTTTTGTAGTATGATCCTTGATTATTTTTTTTTCTGAAAATAAAAATAACAAATGTAAACTCAATAGTAATTTGAAAGTCCAACCATGCAAGTTTACCGACTAGGCGGGAAACTAGTAAACGGCCGGGTACTGATAACAAATGGATTAAGACAGTTAAATTTCTGTCTTGGTTGAGACACTTTTTAGGGGAAAGATTGTCCATAAACTTTCCATTTTTACCAGAATCATTCATGGTTTTAAACCAAACAAATTTAATTATACGGTATGATTTTAATATCTAGAACTTCGAAAAAAGAAGGTATTAAGGAAAAAAAACACAAATTTAATTAAACAGTGTATAGTTAATATCTAGAACTTCGAAAAAAAGGTACTAAGGGAAAAAAAAACACAAGTCCAAGAAAAAAAAAAACACCACTTGAACCAAAATAAGATAAGGCGAAAAGACCAACTTTATGTTATAGACAAACATTGAACAACACGAAACCAACACCAATATCTGGGCTTGGTGTACATGTGTGACTGGACTCGGTTAACCCTGAAGGGTGTGCGGTTTCTGCTCCACCAGTGGCATCCATCATGCTGCTCATGACAAGTGAAACATGTGATGATTAGTAGTATTTAGTTACAAGTCATGAACAATGAAAGTACAAGAGAATATGGCTACAACTATTGGTACAAATCTGTGGTCATCTATGCCTCTGATCATACTGTAACAGTCAGCCATGTCATGGTGTCGCCCTCATGACATTCAAGAAAACGAAATTCACTTTTCAATTGATAACAATTGGTTTTGTACCTTCCCTATAAAAAGCAATCCTCTATCTCTAATAGAAAACAGATATGTCGGCAGCAAATCTTGGTAATTTAGTTTCAAAGTCTCAAGAATGGAAAGCAGATAATAGGAAAACTAGTTCTACATTGGCTAGAGGTATAGGGGGAGGGTTGAGATCTCATAAACATGTTTAACCCCGCCGCATTTTTGCGCCTGTCCCAAGTCAGGAGCCTCTAGCCTTTGTTAGTCTTGTATTATTTTTAATTTTAGTTTCTTGTGTACAATTTGGAGTTTAGTATGGCGTTCATTATCACTGAACTAGTATATATATTTGTTTAGGGGCCAGCTGAAGGACGCCTCCGGGTGCGGGAGTTTCTCGCTGCATTGAAGACCTGTTGGTGACCTTCTGCTGTTGTCTGTTCTATGGTCGGGTTGTTGTCTCTTTGACACATTCCCCATTTCCATTCTCAATTTTAGGATCATCCTGCTTTTCATGAATTCTACCTTTTAGTTGTATATTAGAGAAAGATATATAGATATGAAGCAGACTTTTTGTAGTAGCCTTAATTTATAGTAATATTTAGTGTAATGTAGGAGAGTCGAACGTTTTGATATCGTTGTAAAATTTTTGTGATTTTATGATTGGAGACTTCTGGAATGTTTAAAAGAATTACGTATGATTGACTCCAAAGGCAGAACACGGCCCTTCACCATTTTTTTTTATAGACCTTCTTGTTCTGTAACAGAGATCACTCTGAACTAGGAATAAGTCGAATTTGCTCATGAAAACAAAATGAACAAAACAGTATCGACATAAATATCCTAACGGATGCCGCTAGTTGGGCAAAATTGCTCATTCTCCCGTAGAATCCGAGTCCTCGATTTTTCTGCTGTGGTATGTTGCTTAATCTTGATTTCTGTGAGGGGCTTTGTGACCTGCTGTTTGTCTTTTCCCTATTTTTCTTTTTGTTTATGGTGATGTCTGGTATCATTTCACTTTTAAGAAGTTTGCGTGGCATTGGACACCAACATATTTGTAATCTAATGTGCTGATAGCATCTACAACCTCTGTTGTTACTGAAAAAAGTTTGATGTTCATCGAAACTTGTAATTTATGGATTTCGATTGGATAAATGATCGAAAGGTTTCTACTATTTTCTAGCAGGTCCATTATCAGTGTGCATGATGTACAAACATTTATTATTGAAAAAAAAAAATCCCACGATCAAAATTGATATCATACCCCCAAGACTAAAGCTGCATTTACACGATGAACAAAGCATTAAGGAGGTTTAAATTTAAGATCATAAATATTCAAATGTGTAACGTTATGGCTACATTGAATTGTATGTTTAACAATTATAACTGGAGTGGATTAATCTTTGCAGCACGATGGGAGTTTTCCTGTACAGACTTGATGGTTAAATAAAAAATAATACATTATAAATTTTGTGCATTTAAAGCGTTTTTCTGAAAGTTCTTATCGGGAAAGCTCAAAACCGATAACCTGAAAGTCAGTGATGTATACATACTTGATGAAGCTATTTGACCAAAAGGGACCTAAAGTGAATAGCCAACATCATCTATGGTTAACTTTACCTGAGGGAAGGTGATGTATGTATATGAATTATGCTAGACACATTGCAAAGACGTCATTGCGTCCTTATATATATGTGTGATCTTTCGATGGAATAATTGTTACACAAGGGAACCTGCTGCCTTTATCGGTTATACTATGCAACACTGTCGACACTTTAAAGGAACAGATCACAACTCTAACCACAATGTACATAGTTTTAAACCGTAACAGTTAGGGGAGAGTTGAGGGCTCACAAACATGTTTTACCACAACACATTCTCTGTCCCATGTGGCAAACCGTTCTCGTCAAAACTATCTTTAACGCACTTTTAAAAAAAAATTACACACTGAGATTTAAAAAAAAAAGACACTCAGATTTCAAAACACAAAACACACACACTGAGAATTAAAAAATACACACTGAGATTTCAAAAAGACACACTAAGATTAAGAAAAATGAAAAAAACACACACTGAGAATTAAAAATTAGACAATGATATTTAAAAAATACACACTGAGATTGAATAAACTGAAAAACACACACTGAGGATTGAAATCTCAATGTGAAATTTTCAATTCTCAGTGTGGTTTTTTCCCCCAGTTTATATAATCTCAGTGTGTATTTTTTTAATCTCAGTGGGTCTTTTTCCTTTTTTTTTTAATCTCGGTGTGTCTTTTTCTTTTTTTTTTTAACCTCAGTGTGTCTTTTTCGAAATCTCGGTGTGTAATTTTTAATTCCCAGTGTGTGTTTTTAAGTTTGTTTTTTCATATCTCGGTGTGTGATTTTTGTTAATCTCAGTGTGCACATTTTTTTTTACTAATGGCTTTAACATAGTTTTGACGAGACCGGCTTGTCATAGTCCTAAATCAGGAGCCTGTATTTCCTGAGTGGTTGCCGTTTGTTAATGTTTGTCATATTTGTTATTCGTAAATTGTTTTGTTATGAATTAGACCATCAGTGTTTTTATAGCCGACTATACGGTATGTGTTTTTTCTCATTGTGGAAGGCCGTACAGTGGCCAATATTTACTTATATCCACTAAATGTGAACACTGGTGGATAGTTGTATCATTGGCAATCATACTGCATCTCCTTATTTTTTATATATACATTTTAGTTGAAAACTTTTCTCAAAGGAAAACATATTTTTTTCAAAGTTATGTTCACAAGTTAATCTTGCAGCATGCTTTTGAAATTGGTTTGTTTTTTCACATAACCATTTTAACAATTGTATTCCAAATATATAATAGTACCCACATGTGACAAAAACAGTATCGTTAACGTAATATTCCAGAGAATTTCTTCCACTTGGAACTATGATATTATAAAGGAACTTCTTTTTCAGTTTACTGAAAGCAAGCTCTAAGTACTTACCTGTTGATATGAAATCATGCCGTCCTGCACACTCATATATATCTTACTGTATGAATAAAATTGAGAATGGAAATGGTTAATGTGTCAAAGAGACAACAACCCGATCAAAGACCATATGAGTTTTAGATAAATATTCTTAAAGTAATGAAAATAGAGAAGTTCTCGCTCGGACACACACTCCATTATCTTGTATATTATAAGAGCATAAACCTGAAGCACGGGGAGGCACTCTACTGTCTCCACACGGCACTAAAGACAAACTCTGTAAAAAATAAAATTGAGAATGGAAATGGGGATTATTTATTCCAATTTTTATGAAGAAATCACCGATGAAATGTTTTTAAATTAGATAAATATTTATTATACCAAAAAATGCCGGTTTTTTTTCTAAAATCATAAAAATTTAATAAAAAAATAATTATTACCAAAGAATTGTTACACAAATTAAGAAGATACTTTTGTAAAGAAGATATTCCAAATCGTTTTACAAAAATCCACATGTTTTTATCTTTTGAACTTGACAAAAAAGTTAAGTATATGTCTGTCCAAAATGGATAGAAATGTCCAAGAAACCGAGATTTTAGGTAAATGTCTAAAATTTCGACCTTATTTATGTCTAAATTTAGCAAATGAAGGTATATTTTTTATTACATATTTAAATTGACCAGGTGAAAAATAGCTTATATGCAAATTTTCGTAAAAAAAATCACCGTGGGATCGAAACTGTATCGTATGCCCTTAAAACTATATAGCGTCAAAAAAGATGTTCTTGGGCGAATAAGTAGACACTTAAAATGATTTGACAAGCTGATTTCGTTCTTTCATTTTGTAAAAAATCTGCAGGGCCATTTTTAGTGAACAAGATGCTAAGAAAATTGAGAAAAATCTGGAATGCGCAATTCGTTTGGGTACTGTCTGAATCATTTTCACTAACATAAAATGAGAACAATCGCATTAGAAAATGAGCAAAAACTATGTACATGTATGTATAATTCGAAGCCAACATTTTGAGAGGTACCACTGTATTAATTGGCAGTTATTAGTAAATGTTTAGAATTTTTTCCGAGGAACATCTATATATAATAGATCTAATTTTGTTCCTCGGAAAAAATTCTAAACATTTACTAATAACTTGAACGTTGAAGCTTCAACGAGAGTTTTCTTCAAGGGTGGTTCCCCATTTACTGTTCAGATAACTTGTGCGAATAAATGCTGGATATATGCACTCTGGGACCTTATTTTCTAAATTATGTCCGAGGATTGTGCCAGATGCACTAAATGGAAAAGTAACTGTACCTGTGGCTTTTTTTATATGCTTAAACAGTCCTTGGTTTCGTCAAGCACACAATTTATATATGCAGCTTTTTCTCTCTGAATTCGGAGGAAAAGTTGTGAATTTGATGTCGGAATCATGACTACTAAATCACATAATATGAGACCAATTGCATGAGAAAACTATCATGTAAAAAAATTTAAGCATGCCTTATAACAGAATTTCTACATGTTACCTGTCCTCTTCCAATTTGTGCGAAAATTAATGTCACATTAACAGTCAACTCTGGAAAGGACCTTCGCGTGTTAATAGTCAATAATTTATAACATGAATTATAGTTGTAATTGGCTTTGAACTAGCTTTCAGTAACTGCGCGTACTCTTAGATCGGAACTTTGTGCCTTTTTTCGTTTTGTTATTTTGTTGTGTTTTGTTGTGTCGATCTGATAAGTTTATCCCTTTCCAGCTGAGTTTTACAGTGTGTTAATATGGTGTGCCGTTACACCTCTGTTTGGTTTGAGGGGGCTCGCAAACATATTTATCCTCGCCATTTTTCATATGTGCCTGTCCAAAGTCAGGAGCCGGTAATTCAGTGGTTGTTCGTTGGTTGCTGTCTGTAATATTTGCCGTACGGTGACATATAGTTGCTTAAATCAACGTGATTTGGCAATGATACCACATTCATCTCCTTATTTTCATATTTTTGAAAACAGCCATACGACAGATACGACTTTCCATATGGTAATTATGCATAAGAACTGTAAGACGAAACTATCAACGTATCTTTAAATTCGAACACTAAAAAGGATAGACAAACAATGTAGAGCTCAATTGACCGCGGCTGGCTTGCATGGAAAGTACGGACTAAGCCCAACATATAAATACAGCTGTTTCATGTATATGTACTTTAAATCGTAGCTGATATATGGTTTGCCTGTGTGGCGGTTACTTTTATGCAGAAGCAGAAACTTTCCACAGAAATACGATTAAACATGATGCTGTCTATCCCAGTCGTGACAGCTGAATCAGCTGTTTATATCCTATCTTGAGGGTTGTTTACATGAAATTATTCTATAGTCATATTTGCTAATGCTACAGTATATACTTCAATAAAAAAAGAAGTTGCGACAAAATATATCCAGATTGAAAGTTACTTCTCTAAAATAAGTAGATCCATGTTCACGTATAAACTCCCATCAATTCACGTCATCTTTGACAATTCTCCAACAAATTAGAATAGAATAGAGAATCGAAACGGGAATGTGTCATAGAGACAAAATCCCGAACAAAGAGCAAAAAACAGCCCAAGGCCACCAATGGGTCTTCAATTCAACGAGAAATTACTGCTCCCGGAGGCGGGCTTCAGCTGGCCCATAAACAATAATGTATACTAGTTCTGCGAAATGGACGCCACACTAATTAGAATGCATGAAAGCGAATGATTAACACAACAGTAGTTAGTTATAGACAGTTATGAATAAATCATGTTACAAAAGTTGGTAGGATTTTAATATAAGGAACTACGCCAATGGTACAAACTTCCACCAGAAATGTAGCAAGACATCCAGTTAAATTAAGATAATTAGCTGACACATACTAACAGAGCAAAGATTAACCACAATCAGGTAGATGCATGGTGTCAAATATTGAATAAAAGACCCAGAAATGTTCTACTACAATGTGAAAAACATGTAGTTCTCCAAACCCATATATTTTAGAGCTTCTTCTCAAGCCAGGAGACTGTAATTCAGTGGTTGCGTTTCTAGCTGTATATCATATTTCTTTTTCGTTGATTGTTTTGAACATAAATCAGGCCTCTTTTGTTTTTCTCGTTTGAACTGTTTTATATTTGCCATTTGTGGCCTTTTATAACTCGCTATGGGGTACAGGTTTTGTCGCATCGTTGAATGCCGTACGGTAACATATTATTGTTAACGTTTCGTCATTTAAATTGGTCTCTGGAGGAGAGTTGTCTCACTAGCAATCATATACCAAATCTTTTTATTTTTATACTGAATAAGCCGAATCTCCAACAGATAAGATCAGATATTTTATTAGTGCAAAATCCAAACAATAGAATTGTTACTATATAACAAAAACAAACAATCGACAATATAAACATGTTTCATTGACAAACAAATGAAATTCATGCGTGACAACACGCATCCTTTCAAATTAGCATTTAGATCATTATAATTTAGAACAGTGATACTTTTATAAATTTTGACTTGCCCGGATGGAGAGTTGTCTCATTGGCACCCATACCACATCTTCCTATATCTATATAGTAATTAAGTATTTTTCTTTAAAGTCGACACATGTACAATCAACAATAAACATGAGCGGAAGCTCATAGAACCGACTATAAAAAAGATAACAGGATATGATGTCTAACTCTATTATATATTAGTTCATATATAGATATAGGAAGATGTGGTATGAGTGCCAATGAGACAACTCTCCATCCAAGTAACAATTTATAAAAGTAAACCATTATAGGTCAACACGGAGCATTGGCTCACACCGAACAGCAAGTTATTACAAAAAAGAAAGAAAGAGACCTATAGTATTATTAATAAACATATAAAATCATGCATGTAAAATTACTTGCACAATGGTAAATGTTGTTTCTATATTTAAACACGCCGACTTATGCCATAACAATAACCATCATTATGTGACATTCTTCACAAGAAAAATAAAAATCAAATTTGTTTTTATTACTCATTGAATTTAAACAACGAACAATGTAATAAATTTCACTTAATATTTTGATACCAGAGTTATTTAGGTTTTTATAAACGTTCAAATGTTTGGCTTTGAGCGTTCCTGATGAAGGTGAATCCAGAAAAGCGCTTCGGACGCATGAAATTATTAAACGTGTTGTTTTCAATATTTTATACAAAATGAAATAAGTCTTTTAACTTATTCATAACTTAGGAGGCGCAATCTATATTTTCTCAAGGATTTGTATAGTAAATATAATATGATATACAAATCCTTGATTTTCTGAAGCTGTTTCATATCGACCACGTTCTGTTAGAATGTAGATTGGCAGGTCAGTTAGTTTTCATAGAGTTATTGTTCTTTGCATAGTTTCTTGCATATTATGTTCCGTATACTGTTTTGTGATTAGAATTTAGAATTAGAATATAAATTTGATGAGAAACGTTTGTTTTTTGCATGTCACGCCTCTTAGCCCGTTTACCATATTCCACTGCAATACACACAGGACAATCCAAGACAATTCAACGGTTCAGAATCTAACTGAATCTGGTAGATATTTTTAAAAGCATACATCAAGAAGTTGTGATTTGTTAAAAACAATGGAAAAGTCAACCAATGACTTGACGTTATTTACATTTTAGTTGACGAACAAAGTTGGCTGCTTGTTTTAAAATATCTAACTATTTGTATCTGTACTCTGAATTTTCATATGTGTGTTTGTACTAACTTGATTGAACCACAGATATGATAGCCATAGATCTATGGCTATTTTATCTTTTATTGAACTCATGTTATTTGTACGTCCATAATTTTTGAAGAAAGTTCTTGTCTATTATTTTCTGGCTTACTTCTCGGATTTTGGACAGTGCAAGCTATGTAATAACCGGAAGCGGAACCGGTTATCAGCTGATGAAATATCGTCTTCATGGTTTCAGTTAATTATATCTGTGAACGTAAATTATAATCAAGATCTAGAAGATACAGTGAAATGGTACATTAATATGATGAAATTTTTACCTGCCGATATTACTATTCTGTTCTGCTGAACTTTCTAATAGCCTGTTACTGTACAGTTTATTTTTTATAAAACCCAGTCTCCTTTTCATCATGTTCATAATTTGTTTATATAAATATGTTTAAAAATTGTATCTGTATGGTACTGGATACGAACTTACTTATCCAACTTATTCAGGATGTGTGTATGCACCACTGTCACAGCTAGTCGTGCAAGATAACTGTTGTTCAGTGGTGGTTGTTTGTTTTTGTGGTTCATAGGTGTTTCTCGTTTTTTATATAGTTTAGACCATTGGTTTTCCTGTTTAAATTGTTTTACACTAATAATTTTGGGCCCTTTATAGCTTGCTGTTCGGTGTGAGCCAAGGCTCTGTGTTGAAGGCTGAACTTTGACCTATAATTGTTAACTTTTTATACATTGTGACTTGGAGTTGGATGGAGAGTTGCCTCATTGGCACTCATACCACATCTTCTTATTTATATTAATCTTTCCACTGTAACTGTTTTATATTGTGAAAAATTATATATGTGTAACATGGACAGTACCAGTGGGATTTGAACCCTGAATCTTGGGATCTGAAGGCAGCTCTCTCACTGACTGAGCCAAAGAAGATCTTCCCTAACTCAACCAGTTAGACTACCTTTATGCATCCAGTTATGCAACACTCATCCCACATTTCAATTTTTGCACTGCATACCATCCAATTGAGCAGCTTACAGGTCCACTACTGTACAACCCCAAGTCTTTCTCTCGGAAACCCTAACGGCCTAGCCACAATCAGATGTACATTTTGTGTTTCACATGAAGCCAAAAATGAAGATCACATCAGGCAAAAACCCTTTTGATATTTTGGTACAGAAATGGTTTAAATTATGAAAAATGGCCGTCATAAGGCTAACACTTGAAGCATTTATATAATAACATGCAGTTTTGGGAAGAAATATTTAATATTTTTATTAAATAAATGGTGTTTTAAAACTGTCTAATTTTCTTTAATCAGGTTGCCTTCAAGACATGGTCACCAGTTTCAAATTTTTGGCCAATGACAAAGACAACAAAATATGTTTAGAATTATTGAATATCAAACATTTTAATCGAAAAAAAAAATGACAAGAACATGTTTAACTCACAATTATTTCAAACAACAGTAGCTTTCTTTGATCATTACTCTGATCTGATCAAACTATTTCTAAAATAATCTATTAATAACAAAACTTAAAAAAAAAACCTTTCTTTTGGTGTATAGAACATTAAAATAACTTGATGCATATTCTTACAATAAACAATCAAAGTTAGCAATACAATTTATATGTTTTGTCTACGGACAAGACATTTTATTGATATTTAATTAAATGCATCATTAAAACTTAATTTTGACATAGTTGAATATGTTCTCTTGACAAAATAACATACATTTTATTATGTTTATCTATCAAATGATGCTGAACCTCGAGGAAATTGGAAACAAATACATTGTGATAATGTCTACGGACAAGACATTTTATTGATATTTAATTAAATGCACTAAAAAGATAATTGTTAAAATTAAGATTAAGTTACCCATTTAATTTTAAGCTGTGTTTTTTAATTTTTGGAAAATATAAAAAAGTACCCATGATTCTTTACATATCTCAAAATTTTATTGATTAAGCAAAAATGAAGACACATTCTTTCAACTGAAATCCATAAGTCTGAATGTTTAACAATTAAACTTTTATTAAAACTCAATTTTGACAAAGTTGAATGTGTTCTCTTGAAAAAAATAACATACATTTTATCTATCAAATGAGGCTGAACTCAAGGAAATTGGAAACAAATAGATTGTGGTAATGCCTACGGACAAGACAATTTCAGTTGAATAAACAATCTGTTAGAAATAATTGTGATTATATTTATGTTGAAAATACTGAGTTTTAATGTGTTCAAAGAACTTTCATCACCTATAAATTAGATTTAAGTTCCAAAGTAGACAAATAATTGAATTTAATACTTGTTATGTACAAGTGTCTTGTCCGTAGACACTTCCTCATCTGCTGATAATCCTAAAATGCAAAAGATAAAGTCACAGAGAGAGAAATACTATTTCTTCATTTGATTACATTTTTTTTGTGTAAGTTTATCTTTTAAGTTATGAAGCAACTGGAATAAAAATATTGAAATAAAATAAGGTATGCTTTTAATGACTGACAATTTGACACTTTTTAAAATCCACTCCTGTAAAGTAATTTTACAAAAAAATGAGAACAGTTAAATAACCATTAATTAATAAAAAATAATACATTTCTAAGTTTAAACAACACATAGGAACAATTTAGATCCATAAAGCCAAGCAATATTGATATAAAGACATGTCTACGGACAAGACATGTGTCTACGGACAAGACATTCTGACATTTTTTTCAAATTCTTCCTCTATTAAAAGATGGTAGAAATTAATGTTTGTAGTGTTTTCATATCTACAAAAGAGTAGGAACTTAGCAATGCAACATTTATGTTATTACACTTCCAGTTTACTAGGAAATGCATGCCTAAGGACAAGACATTTTTTCACTTTATTTGGATATCCATTTTAGATGGCATATATCTCCAGCTAGGGTACTGCAATATAGATATATGAGGTAGTTGTTGATAATTCATATACAAGAAGAGAAAACAAAACACATAATAGCATAAATTTCATTTATTTTTCTCTTTCATTACTACATTATACAAGGTAAAAACAAAAATACAAAATTGCATAACGAATGCATAGTATTCGACTTTTTATCATAACTTTGTAACCACTGAAGATTTTTCGTTGCAACAACCAGCAAAAGAAAGATGAATAAATTGTCTATAACAGTGAACCAAAAATGTAGTTCAAATTAGGTTCACTTATTAACTATCAATTGATAAAAACAGTGTATTTTTAAATGAAACAACATAACGTGAAATTTTGCCCATTTTAGCGTGTATTTTAGTTGGTTTTTTTTCAAAATGGTCACACATATACATGATATTTGATATGCATTGTGAAGCCCTATATATTCTTTCCTTCAGTTCAAAGATGTAATACTTAAATTAAGTTCACCTTCTTGTCTATAGAAGCCTATAACATAGACCTAATATGAAATGTACATCTGATTGTGGCTAGGCCGTCTGGTCAGTTCAATGATGTCTATCATCCCTAATGACCTGCTGGTAATACCTGATGAATCACACAATTAAACTGCCAGGCATTTGTACCATACCAGTAGTAATTGCTCACAGCATTAATATTGTGAAAATACATGGATGGTAACAACGGGATTCAAACTCTCAATCTGAGGATCTAAAGGCAGCACTCGAACCTACATGTACTAAGCCAGGAAGATCTTCCCTAACTCAACCAGTTAGACTACCTTTATTTTTTTTGTGAAACCTTCCTATGACATAACTTCCAAAGCCATTTTTTTCAGCAGGACTTTGAAAGCAAATTTTGAGAACCAATTTGTTCAGGGTAATTTTCAATTATGGCTAGCTATATATATATATAGATAGAAATGTTTGCATTCATTTACATGATTCCTATCTTAACTGTGCTTTAATTGGTACAAAATATTTCCCAAAATATCCAAAAGTATTGATAAAATAATTTACAATTCTAGCCAAGATGAAGATGACCCAATTTTTAAAAATGTGTTTCAGGATTCCTTACTTCAGAGAAATATACAAACCAAACACGATATAAGCATCAGATAAACTATTTTGTACTGGACATCGATCGGTCTATTTGAATTTTTTTTCTAAAATTTCACTAGTTTGCATCTATTTATGAAGTCGAAGGGGACTTTAGGTTTGCACTCCGTCTGTCTGTCTGTCTGTCCATCCGTCAGTCCAGCAAATCAGTTTTCCAAACTTTTTTTTCTTTATGCTTGAAGATATTGATTTGATATTTAGTGTTTTATCATAACAAGTTACAGATCAAGTTTGAATTTTGTTCCGGTCTGACAATTTTGTGCAGAGTTATGGTCCTTGAACTTAGAAAATTCACTCATATAATCAGTTTTCCGCAATTGTTTTTGTCATGCTTGAAGATATTGTTATGATGATTGGTATATAGTTTTATCATGACAAGTTACAGATCAAGTTCGAATTTTGTTCTGGTCTGATGATTTTGTGCAGAATTATGGTCCTTGGACTTAGAAAATTCACTCAAATAATCAGTTTTCCTCACTTTTTTCGTCATGCTTGAAGATATTGATTTGATAATTGGTATATAGTTTTATCATGACAAGTTACAGATCAAGTTCGAATTTTGTTCCTGTCTGCTGATTTTGTGCAGAGTTATGGACCTTGGACTTAGAAAATTCACTCAAATAACAACAAATGGAAGTTTTTAACGACCTTGACTGGCTATACAGCCCTTGCACGGTCAGTACTCAAATAATCAGTTTTCCTCACTTTTTAATGCCCCCGCTGTGGCGGTGGGGGCATTAAGTTTTAATCTTGTCCGTCCCTATGTACGTCCTAAAATTGGTTTCCGTTCTCTAACGAGTTTGCCTCAACCAAATGTTATGAAACTTATACACAATGCAGAGTTGTGTTCCTTGGACTTAGAAAATTCACTCAATTAATCAATTTTTCGTCATGCTTGAAGATATTGACTTGATATTTGTTATATAGTTTACACCATGACAAGTTAGAGATCAAGTTAGCATTTTGTTCCAGTACAATGAATTTTTAACCGGTAGGGGACTATGTATTGCCATGCAATACTCAGAGAATGCTTGTTGTTTCCGCTTTATTTATTCACTTCTTTTAATCATTCAATAAGATTTAGAGTTTCACATATTGTTTGACGTCTGTTGACCCTTAGATGTCTTTTGGTTATGTTTGTTATTGGGTTGCTGTCTTATTGACATATACTCCACATCTCTGTAAGACTTTTTATTGTCTCGCCTGCAACGAAGGTCACAAGATGCGAGACATAGTGATTGCTATCCACCAATGTAATT